AGCTCTTATGTTTAGGTCTATGATCCATTTTAAGTTAACTTTTGTGTATGGGTGAGATAGGGCTCCAATTGCATTTTTTTGTACATTGATATCCAGTTGTCCCAGCACCACTTATTGAAAAGACAAATTGTACTAATTTTGAAATACATATTATAACTGCATAATCAGTCATCTAGCTCTCAGTTAGACTGTAAGTACCAAGAGGGCAGGGACTGAACCAATCTTGTTCACTACTATATCTCCAGCACTCAGCCTAATGTCTAGCTCCTAATAAGCACTCATAAATATTGGTTGAAATAATAATTTTATTATTAATAATAAACACTCTACAGTTCTATGCATTATAGGCATTATCATCTTCCATGTTATTTAATTATTTAGGCTCATAGAAGTTAGGCAATGTGTGCCTTGTATTACTGGTTCTCAATTTTTTACTCAGATGCTCCCTCCTCACCTAGGAAGGGAGTTAGTGAGCTCCTCCAGGGCAGGGATTGCTTCTCCTTCCTCATTTTATTGCCATTGAAACAAATTCAATTTAGGGCTAGGCACAGGGGCAGGCTAGACAGATGAGCAACTGTGGGACAAATGGACAATGCCCTCCAGGACCAGGTCCCTGCCTATCCTCAGTCCCTCCTAGGCTAGAATGTGATCCAGCAACAGTATGTAATTTCCCCCTCTCCATCACACAACCTCCTAGGCTGTTTCTTACCTTGGTGATGCCACTCATGCTGACCCCTTTGCCTGGAATGCATTCCCTTTTCTATTTGCTAAGCCCAACTGATATTTTAAGACTCTAACTAGGTGCCATTTCCTCTAGGACGCTTTCTCTGGTCCCCCAGATTGGTCAGGGGCACGGTGTGGCCTCCTGTCTCTCAGCACTGACTATACTATGTTGTTACAGTCTTTCCTAGTCTCCTTCTTCAAGGACAGGAGTCATGGCTGGTCAGTTGTCGCGTGTCAAGCATATGACCCAGCATGACCAGTGCTCAGTAAATTTTGTCAAATGAACAAATAAATCCTGGAGAGAAAGGGCAGACAGTCTGAAGTCCAGGTTTTATACCATCAGGCTTCTTCATTAGAAAATATTTGGGCTCAGGAAGGGGTAAATGGGAGGAAAAGGGAGACATCTGTAATACTATCAATAATAAAAATATATATATATATTTAAATAAATAAGTAAATAAAATGAAAATTTTGGGGCTGACAAACACCCGAGTTAAGGACTCAGCAGAGGCCCAGCTCCCTGCCGGGAGAAGGGAAATGGGTAGGGGTGTTGTCTTTCACCCAAGTTTGTTCTGAAAGAAATGTGATCTCCTTTAGAAGAGGAAGAACAGGAGGCCTCACTTCTCCCAGCCCTGATAGCTCCTCACATGGCTCAGCCTGAGCCTGGACAGATGTGCCTTCAGTCTACCCTGTGCCCTGGTTTCGGGTGAATAGTTCCTCAGTCTAGAAGCCAGGCTCAGGTTTAGGCTAAGCCCAGGAACAGGCCACCTGCTCATGCTGCTGACAGGTGAAACAGGATCCAGGACCGGTTTTCACTTCTGAAGAGCTGAATACACAAGGTTTAAGTGCCCCTGGAGAAGGAAGAAAGGAAGAGAGAAGAAGGGAAGAGGAAGGATCCAGCCTCCCTCTCATATAGCCAATGGGAGTATGGAAATTAGACTCTGGGCTGCCTGTTTCAGAAAAGTCAGTAAAAAGCAACTTTCCCTGAGTTCTGCTGTGTTAGAGAATACGGGAACTAACTGTCCCTGCCATGGGGAGGCACACAATACAGTGGCTTAAGGTGAAGGCTGGCTTGCAAACTTATTAATATAAAGAACAGAGCATGGCAAGTGGCAGATACTGCCGGGTCCCGTTAGCCAGGCAAGCCCAAACCACACACATTTACCTAGCTCCACATAAAGCAGGTCAATAGTACCTGCAGGTCAGGGCATCTATCCAGAGCTCTTGGCTTGATCATCTCAAACTCTATGAGGATTCCTGACCTGTTCCTAATTAAGTCAGCATGTGAACCTCGCTGGTTTTCCTGTTTTCCTGACATTCAGCCCTACTTCTCTCACCTAACCTCCAACTTCGCTTCTAGAAAAGGATTCTCTCCTACATGCTGGCACATCCTTTCCTAGATGACACTCATTTTCTCCCAGCCCAGGAGGTGTGGGGCAAAGGAAGCGGTGATCATACCCAGCTGAGAGGAGTCAAGGAAGGTCTCACAAGGAACGCAGCACTTGAGCTGAACCTAGAAGGCTAGATTTAAGCAGAGGATGAGGAACAGAAAGTAGGGAGGGCCGAGGGTCCAAGATCTATAGCTTCTCGAATGCCCTTAAGAAGAGAATGAAGCACCTTCCTCCTGAGCAGAAGAGCCTCAGGCTATTGCCCTTCATTATCCTGAGCTCTCCCAAGGCTCTGGGTCTGGGGATGGTAAGGGAACATCAAGGCAGAAACACACACAGCACAGAGCCACAGAGAGGTCAAGGGGGAAAGAAGGGTAGAGGGCAATATTGTTCACCAGATCTGTTTTATTCCAAATACTATATCACTGACCACACTGATCATACACATGGTGACCCAACCATGCATAAACTGTGTAAGTTTTTGGTTTTTAATTGAGAATGACTCTATCCTGCTATAGGCAGGTCTGTTGGGCAAAGCTAAGGCTAGGACAGGCAGAGGAAGAAATTAAGAGTAGTGTGAAGCACCTATGCAAAGTCTAGGTCATAGAAAAGTTGAATAAAGACCTGCTTTAAGAATTCAAGAAAGTTTCCTTCCAGCAAGGATGATCTGCCTCTCACCCTCACCTCTAGGCTTAGCTCTATTAGCAGGAATAACTGTAATTGGTAGGTTACATGTCTGTTTCCTTGAAACCAGGGCCAGGGTCACACACATACCCATCTCTAGTGCCTAGCAAAGGTCCACTCATTCTTTCATATGCAGGAACTGCTTGGGGTTAGAAGGAGAAGAATGTCCTAATTCAGGCCTTCATCACCTTGAATTTATCTTACTAAAACAGCCTTTTAACAGATCTGCTTTTAGCCCTTGCCCAATTCAATTTACCCTTCACCCTTCTGAATGGCCCTAACTGGGCAATTTCCCTGCTCTAAACTTCCCATGTCTCCCCAGTGATCATAAGATAAAAATTCGAAACTCCTTCATGGGCATTCCAGAGCTTGTACATTCCAGCTTCTCTCAAATCATCTCCCTCTTTCCCAACCCTGCAACTCTGCACAAACACCACCTTAGCAGCAGCATTACACCAGGCCAGCAGCCAGCCAGCATCTTCTTCCCCTGCCTTTGCTCCGTTTGTCCCCTGCTCTTTGCTTCTGGGAAGGAGGGGGGAGAGCGAGAGGGAGACTCTCATGCTGAAGGGCAGGGTTCCACACAAATGGTGAAGAAAGATTCTGAGTCATCACAACCAAGAGAGATGGGCAAGAGGAGGCAGGGGGAAAGCAGGCTAGAGACTGGAGACACACATGAAAGGTCCCTACAGGCCAAATCCACAAAGACAAGAATGAATGTTGCTGAATCACACATGCACCATAAATCCCATCACTTTTTCTTTTCTTTGGGCAGGTGATTAATTGTTTTAGAAAAATGTTGAAAGAGCTAAAATAATCAACACATGGGGGCTCAATGGGATAGGGCAAACTCAGTCTGCCTGGCTGATGGCAGAAAGGTGGAGTCACAGCATAGCTGCTCTGCAATTGCGCTGCCTACAGTGGGTTGCCAGAGAGAAGCAGAAGCCTGGCAGCCCTTAGCAGTTACCAACAGGTGATTCCAGGGTCAGCACAAGCCTGAGAGGAGGGGGCTTGGCCAGTCCCACACCCACCCCCTCCTTGGTACTGCAGAAGGAAGCGAGGCTCATCTGTTTCTGGGGGAATGAAGATGCCACGCACAGCCTGCAGTTATGAATGGCTCTTATAACAACAAGCTGACATCTGTGCTCGGTTTTTAAGATGCATCATTGCATGTTTATTAAACTATTGCTCTATCATATTTATTAAGCTACGAAACAACTCCCAGCCCATACTTCCAAAAGTGGTTTATTAAAAACTAAGCCTTGAACATTAATACTCAAAAGCACCCTTGAGAATCAATAATGCTGCAGATAAAATGAAAGGGAATCAAAGCAGTAAGTCTTGGTGGGGGCTGTAGTTGCCTTTCAACACTTTCTCGTATGTTCAGGCAGCTGGAGTGGGGAAGGACATGAAGAGTATGTGGAACTGGGTGCAGGGCTAGCCACCCCAAGAACCAGACTTCCTGTCTAACATGTGGACTTGGCAGTATGGAAGGGGGAGTGTCCTATGGCCATCTAATTCTATGCAAGGGAGGGGGGGGGCAAGATTAGGTCCAGTGAGTGCCACTAGTTTCATCAAGAATAAAACCCCTGCCCCCTAGTCTCATACTGATGCCCTATGCTGGCCCAATCTGAGCATCCATCCCGGACACAGACTCTGCCCTGCTCCTGGTACCAGGCTGATCTCTAAGTTGAGTCCTGCCCCTGCCCAAGAACAAGCCTCAGATCTAACAGGCCAGTGGTCATTAGGGGCCCAGCTGAGCAGGGAGACTGGAGAAACGCAATCAGCCCATGAGCAGAGGCCCATCATGTGCACCCCAGGCTTTTCTAGCCCCAGAAAACGTGTCAGAAAGGTATCTTCCAGCTTCTTCCCAAATCCCCAAGCCTCTCCATGGGTGCCCACCTGCACCCCATTAAGGCAACAAGCACTAACACCTGGCCAGTTCTACAAAGAAACAAGAACAAATTACTGTAGAAGATGCAGTGAAGAACCCATAGGATGCAAAGGGGACTACAAACAATGCCCTGTGAAGAACAAAACAGTAGAAGGATTCAGGAGCGTTTGGGGTCAGAAGAAAGGAAACACAGAGCTCCAGAAGGAAGCCCAAGTGACTAGGCGACTACAGAATTTAATTCCCAGCTTAGTGTGAGATTCCTCCAAGGCAGCCATCTTCTGTGGGGGAGAACAGGCCTGGGGTTTGACACTCACCTGCTGACTTCTTGAACATTGTTGGCTCGAGCAGCTTCCATCAGGGCTGCATCTGTAGAGAGACAGGGCGCTGGTCAGACCTACTCCTCAGGTCAGCTTAGAGGGCCCAGTAAAACAGTGAAAGTAGAAGCACTTCAGAAACATGGGCTTTAGCAAGAGAAATAATGCCAAGATAGAGGCATACCTCAGAAATATTATGAGTTCCGTTCTAGACCACAGCAGTAAAGCACACATCACAATAAAGTGAGCCGTACTCTTTTTTTGTAATGAATACTTATCTGAAGCACAATAAAGTGAGTGCAATAAAACAAGGTATGCCTGTAGGTACAGAGAAGGCTAATCAGCCCATGCCCACATGTTAACTTGTCTTCCACATCTATTACAGAGCCAAACTCTTTTTTTTTATTATTATTATTAGTTAAGGTATTACAAATGTGTCCTCATCCCCCCCATTAACCCCCAACCTCCCCACCGCCGCCCCGCACACTCATGCTCCCATCCCCCTGTTGTCCATGTCCATTGGTTTGGCTTATATACATGTATACAAGTCCTTCGGTTGATCTCTTCCCCTTACCCCCGCCCTCCCCTACTTTCCTTCTGGGGATTGATAGCCTGATCGCTATTTCTCAGTCTTTGGAACAGAGCCAAACTCTTACCTCCTCTCATCACACAGGTGATCCCAGGACAGGGCTAGCACAAGTGCTGCCAGTGAATGATAAATGCTCACTGTGCGAATTCCTTCACTCCCCTCTACTAGTAGCTATCAAGCTCTCTGTTTTACATGATTATCATTATCAGTCATTCCCCTACCTTGCCCACTTTCTCTCTAACTCATTTCTTAGCCTAGTTTTGAATCTTGATGTCATAGGTCACACATCCAGAGGGAGGGTCAGGATGGGGAGGAGCAGGAAGGGGTGTGGGCCCTTCTGAGAGCAGAGAGAGCGCCAACCAGGAGTCGGGAAGCCTGGCTTCTACACACTCTGCCCCCTACTCACCATGTGCTGTGGCAGCCTCTTTCCCTCTCGACCCCAGCCTCCCTGACTGTAAAGCAGAGGCAATAAAACCCTTGCCCTGCCAGCCTCACAGGATGCTGAGAAAATGAAATGATGGTTGGAAAATCTGCAAACTCCCCAGTGCCAAGCCCACCAAAGCGAGACCCAAAGCACAGGGTTCAGATCTTTAGGAATTACCTAGCAGAAAAGCTAAGCTGGCTTCCCCTGGGCAGCCTGCAGGCTGCTGGCACCACCTTGTGGCCACAAAGAAAACTTGTTTAGCTGGAAACAAATCTCAAAAGACAACGGAAGCACTTTCTTTCTTTCTTTCTTTTTTTCAAATACCAAGTGCCTGGGGAGTCCTCTGTGCCCAGCATGGTTCTGAGATCCATTATTGAACACGGGACGAACTCAGGCCCAGTCCTGCCTCAGAGAGTTCTCAGTCCAGCCAAGAGACTGACCCACTGCAACAGGAAGAGGCATTGGCGCAGGGGAGAAAACGGGATCTGGACATACACAGACATGGGCTCCCACCACACCTCTGCCATTTACTTGTTGTACCACTTGGCCAACTCAGCTAACCTCCTGAGCTTCAGTTTCCTTATCCATACAACAAAGATAATATAGCCACCTGAACGAGCACATGTAAACCAGTTCTGTGGTTCAGACATTAGTGCCTCCACCCACCAACCACAGACTACAGGGCCAGGTCTTTCCTGGTTATCTTCCCTAAGCACATGCCCAGACAGCCCCCAGCTGGAAGGGAAACAAGCCTTCTTCAGAGATGGCTATATTTTCTCTTCCCTCCCTCTGCAGAAAGAATTGGCTTCTGCAAAGTCACAGAGGAAAAGAAGAATGAGGCGAGATTAGAACCCAGGCCTCCTGGCTCCTACAGGGTACAGTTTCTATCACACTGCACTGAGGGCCTGAGTTTACAACTCCACGTCAGGGGACAGGGTAGCCAGTAAGTCAGATGGTTGGAAATGATCGTGGTTTTGGTCATTATCTCTTTTGGTAAGTGGACTCTGGTTTCCTTGCTGGGGTTCACATGCCACAAAGTCCAGTCTAGAGCCCTTCTAAAAGGCAAGACTTGGGACACCTCCCCCTAATACTTCTAAACATACTGGTCTCAGGACATTCCCTGAGCTCATGGCTCTCCAAGGCCTACGGAGACATTCCAAACCACACTGCATGACATGCAGGCCCCACTCCATCTGCTCTCACTTCACCCTAAAGACCCCCTGTTCTCCAGCCAGGCTGGCCACTCTGCCAGCTCCTGCACACACCATGCTAATGTGCGACTCCCACATCCTTGTTCCCTGAAGCCTCTGCATGGAATACACTTACTGAGTACCTACTAAGTTCCAATACTATGGTGGACAATGTGAAGGTATTAAAGAAAGGAGCTGGTATCAACCTGAAAAAACCTCATGGAGGTCACAGTGAGACATTTTCATCTGTTGTCTCAGCCGTCAGAATGCAAATTCAAATTCCCCATCCTCCAGGGATCTCCAATCTTCCAGGAAAGCTTTCCTGACTCTGTTGGTCCTCTGATCCCCCAACTACACATAGTCAGACCACTCACCAGACCCACAAGCCTAACTGCCTGCAATGTCTCCTTAACTAACTTTGTGCCCAAAACTAGATACACTGAGAGTATCCAAAAAATTGCGGGAAGTGATAGAATCATAGCATGCCTAAGCTAGAAGAGCCCTTAGAGCCCTACGTCAGCATCCTCATACTGTAGGATGAAGAAACAGAGGACCAGTGAGGAGGAGCAAGAGCCCAAAGTCACAATGGGAGTTAGAGGGAGAACCAAAACAAGGCCCCAGCTGTGCTTACTCCCAGCCCAAGGCCTTGCCTTTACAGCTGCTGAGTAAACAGATGTCAGGGCAGCCCCCCTTACTCCAGTCTCAGAGCTGGGAATGCATGTAATCCATGGACGCCCTGCCTCAGGCTCCCCCGTGAGGAACAACTGAGTCCCTGAGTGGTTGGACTCATGTCTGGCTCTCTGCCTGCTCTCCCAGTACCTGCTGAGCTCCACGCACCCAGGTGAGATGCCCACCTGGGTCAGCCAGCCCCCATGGTTACTTTGGGTCCCTTACAGAGCCAACTTCCTAGTCTTCCTTCTCCTGCCAACTGGCCCACATGGCAAGATCTCTTCATGCCTGAGACCAGGCATAGCAAAACCCTGATGGACAGACCCAGGCTGCTGAACGCCAAGACAGAGAAAATAACAGCACTGTAAAAGTACTGAGAAGTAACCCTTCGCTGTATAAGTGGGAAAACTGAAGCCAGAGAGGTGCAAGCGATGAGCGGTGGCAAAGCTGGCAACTGAAACCAAGTCTTTTCTTCTTAGGCCATCTGAGGGGGTAAACCTCTCTAAACCATTTAGCGGTTGCCCTCAAAACACACCGCAGTTTCCCCGAGACCTCTCAAAAGAGGAATCGGGCCAGGCAGAATATTCGAGAATTAAATGACCATGCTCTAATTTTAGAGGTTTAGTCCGATGCTCCCTTTATACAGATGGACAAAGTGATGCCCCAAGAAGGGAGGCGGCACTACGCTGGAAATGATGCAACTCGGAGGCACCGAGCTCTCCCAGTGCAAACTCTACCCCCGTGACAATGTCTGGGTCCCTCCAGGGCTGAGATTCCGCTGCTCTAAAGCTATAAGCAACTCCCACCCTCCAAAGACAGTCAAGGCACTCCTCCCGCCTCTCCCTTCCTGGACCCCAGGTTGTCCCGATAATCACCCTTGTTGGACGGGCTCTTGCTGTAACAGTGAACCACCAGCGCCGTGGCCAGGGCCCACATGCCCAGTCTGCCTCTGGTGGGGACCCCATTCCAGCAGTTCTGTCCGGGGAGTGTGTCTTCGGGGCCAGGAAGGCGTCCCCATGTGGCGGCTGCGAGGCACTGGGTCTCCGTGCGTCTTCCGTGGCGCCCCCCGGTGGCTGCCCCTCTTCGGGTGAGCGAGGCCAGCGATGTTCCAGGACGCCCCCCGATGGCCGCCCTTAGCCACTGCGGCTCCCCGCAGCCCCCGGTGGTCACACTCCGGCCGGAGGGACCTCGGGGGCTCCCGAGTGATGGAGACCTAAGCAGATGGAGGAGGAGCCGCGGCGCCAGCGCTGTTCTCCTTAACACCAGGGCCCCCAGCATCGTGACAGCTGCTTGGATAACCCCCTGGTGCCGGCCCCTGTGCTGGCCACGTCCAACATGGCTGCCGCGGCGCGTTCGAAGACGCCGCGAACAGGGTGGAATTCCGCACTACCTCACGGGAGTGGTAGTCCACAGCTCTACGATAGCTTTCCGCAACTGGAGGACGAATAGACTACAATTCCCAGAAAGCTGTGGAACTTGCGTCACAATGACTGCCTATTTACTGGAGCCCGGGGCATGCTGGGAAATGGAGTTCTGGCGGGGGGCGTGGTAAAAAAAGCAAATACCTAGGTGGGGCGTGGGATTAAGATGCGAATCCCAGAGTATAGTTCAAACACATAATTCAACTTCTGAGTAGTGTAACTTGAACAGGGATCTTCTGCAGACACTTTTTATGAAACGTATGCTTATTTATTTTAGTCTGTTTTTGAGATAGCTTTTCAAAAAGATGTCTAGGGTGATGGGTCCACTTGAACTAGGAATTCCTGTTAGTATATTCCTACACAGACTTCCTTTCGGTTGAAAAGTTGGCACCTAGTCTTGCTTTCTCACTTGTGTTATTTGTTAACGGACTTTCACATGGCTATCACATTTTATCCTTTGGCAGCTGCGTGCGCGAAGCTGGGGCAAGGATTATTTCCACCTACAGGGAAGGGGATTTAGGCTCGAAAGTGAAGTAATTTGTCAATAAATTAAATAAAGCTCAAGTCTTCTGATTCTGAGCCTAATCCTCTCCATGAACACCTCCTGTGCATCCTGGCCCTCTTTTTTCAGACTGAACTCACAGGCAGGCAAAGGCGGAAACTCTTCTTGTCAGTCTTTTCTCTTACTCGGGCACTTCCTGTGGATCTCCACCCAAACCTCACGTTATCAGAGCCTTCCCTGAGGATTCTGTTTCAAATAGCAATCCCTGCCCTGACCCATTTGGCTCAGTGGATAGAGCGTCAACCTGCAGACTCAAGGGTCCCAGGTTCGATTCCGGTCAAGGACATGTATCTTGGTTGCAGGCACATCCCCAGTGGGGGGTATGCAGGAGGCAGCTGATTGATGTTTCTCTCTCATCAATGTTTCTAACTCTCTATTCCTCTCCCTTCTCTCTGTAAAAAATCAATAAAATATATTTAAAAAATAAAATAGCAATCCCTGTGCTCGCTTGGGCAGCACATATACTAAAATTGGAACGATACAGAGAAGATTAGCATGGCCCCTACTCAAGGATGACACGCAAATTCATGAAGCATTCCAAAATTTAAAATAATTAATTAAAAATATAATACAATAAAATAGCAATCCCCTTCCCCCTATCCTTCTTATCCTAATTTTTTTCCACAGCATCTACCAGCTGATGTACTAAATACTATGTATTTGTTCTATTGTCTTTATCCATGATACAGGGACTTTGTTTTTTCATTCATATCACTCCATCCAGAACAATGGCTGGAACAAAAAGGTTCTCAATAAATATTCCGTCAGTGAATGGATTACTCTTACCTTATTAGCGTGGGGGGATGAATATGAGATTTAGAGTACAGGCAGCCCTGGATTGCAATTTTGACTCTTGCATTTACTACATGTGTGATTTTGGACAAATTTCTTTACCTTTCTGATTGTTGATTTCCTCATTATTATCAAAGATAATACCTACCTTCAAGACAGTTGCATGTATTAAATGAGAAAACATGTTAGACCTATGTTAAATGAGATAATACGTAGACCACCACCATCCCTTGCTCACAGTAGGTCTTCAAGAAATTGTGACTATCATACTACCTACTCTAGGGGTGCACTGGATTCCCTACTCTAAACTTTTGTTTTGTTTTGTTAATCCTGACCCGAGGGTATTTTTTCCATGGATTATTAGAGAGAGTGGAAGGGAGGGGAGAGAGAGAGAGAGAGAGAGAGAGAGAGAGAGAGAGAGAGAGAGAGAGAGAGAGAGAGAGAAGGAGAGAGAAAGAGAGAGACAGAGAGAGAAATCAACGTGAGAGAGAACACATAGATTGGTTGCTTCTGGCATGTGCCCTTACCAGGGCTGGGGATCAAACCCAAAAGCCAGATATGTGCCTCTGACCTTTGATGGGGAACCTAACCCTCCTCCCTTCTGAACGCGGCTGACACTCCAACCACTGAGAAATACTGGCCAGGGCCTCTACTCTAAACTTCTTGAGGGCAGGGATGGAGTTTCTCATTTCTCCATCCCTTTGTAAGACACTCAGCAAGTAGCTGTTGAATAAATGAATACATATTTTATAATTATTTAATAGCCAAAGCATTTTGACCTCCCTATTTTAAGAGATTCCCAAGATATCCTGTCTTGTTAGCCACTCTATTCACTATACCAGCCTCACTTTCCCTGTATTCTTAGAATACTTCTGCCTCCCAATTTAGGGTTGGTCAGAGCAGCAAGAGTGGTCTCTGAGCTACCACTACCAGGTGAGTCAAGATAGTGCATCTGAGTATTTAGGTAAAAGTCACCAGTAATAATGTGCTGAAGACACATTCTAGGGGTCCTTCAGTTTACTTAGTACCGCATAATTTTCAAAGTACAGACCCATTGATCCTCTCATTTGATTTTCACAAATAACATCTATAAAGGGTGCAAGGCAGGGTTAAATCACTATCAGCATTTGGTAGGGAATACTGAGAGGTTAAATGACCGTGTCTGGCTGAGTGGGAAGTATGGGAATAACTATTAGAATCAGCCAGGACTCAGAGTGGATTCTAGATCTTCAATAACCAATTCAAAAACCCCTAGGTCACATTGCTAACATTTTAAAAGATCTTCAACTCAGGGTGACTTCCTTTTGGTTTACATAGGAAGCAGGAATTTATATCAAGTTTCAGTTACCCTACCTTGGCCCTGAGCTTCTAGCACTTGGGTTGGGGGATAGAGAACTCCAGTTTCATTTAGTTTATAATGAGGTGACTAGGGGATATTGGAGTGGGGTTTAGGAGAAGGCAGAAAGTGAAGGGTCAATGAATGCAGTTTCTGTGGTTACCCACCTCTGGAGTAGAGTCAGAGGTCATTCTGTAGGCTTCTGAAGAAAACACTTCCCTGAAAAACAAAACAACACACATTTTAAAACAAATTACTAAATCATAGATAATGAGAGCTGGGTTTTCCTTTTTTGGAGGAAGAAGTTATAAATAAGGAAAAGAGAGAATGCTAAAATGAACCTTCTGGTATTGGATTAGAATTAGGGGTATCAGTATAAACTCATCCAAGCACTTTACACAAACAGAAGTTAGTAGCTACTGAATATTGACTGTTTATTCTGAGGCAGGCACCTTTTTTGAACAAGCTCGCCTACTCCTTACATTAACCCTTGAGTTAGATACTGTTAGTATTCACAGTTTTGTCTGACTCAGAGCCCAAAGGTTTAGCCATTACACAGTTTGCTTTTCGGAGGAAGGAAACGTGTGTGTGTATGTGTGTTGGGGTATGTGTGGAAAATATTCTGCATTATTTTTTTTCTCAAAAACATTGCACACTTTCCTGCATAACAAATAGAAAATAGTGAATCTAATTTAATATTTTCCTGATGATCAAGGTTATTGCTATTGCAACAGATTTTTTTTTTTTGGTATCATATTGCAAATGTAGAAATCTTAGACTCTAATCCAAACCATGCTTGGAAAATATTTTGCTAAAAAATTCTCTTATCACCTTCTTTTCTTGTCATCTGTGTCCTTCCCATAGAATCAGAGTGTAGCATGTGGCCTCTGGGCAGAGCAACATAGCTACTTTTTACATTAAGAATAAGAATTGTAGCCGAAACCGGTTTGGCTCAGTGGATAGAGCATCGGCCTGTGGACTGAAGGGTCCCAGGTTCGATTCCGGTCACGGGCATGTGCCTGGGGTGTGGGCACATCCCCAGTGGGAGATGTGCAGGAGGCAGCTGATCGATGTTTCTCTCTCATCGATGTTTCTGGCTCTCTATCTCTCTCCCTTCCTCTCTGTAAAAAAATCAATAAAATATATTTTTTAAAAAAAGAATAAGAATTGTATTTATGATAAACCTGCCATTTTATGTAAGTGGTGGAAAGATGAATTATTTAGTAAACAGTGTTGAGACAGCTGGTTGGCAAATTGGGGAAAAAATTAAATTGGATTTATATCTTACACCTTTCACCAAAATAAATTCATACTAAATCAGAAGATTTAAATGTGTGCGTGTGTAGGGGGGGTGGGGGGACCAGAAAAATGCTAAAATAAAACATAAAGTAATTTTTAAAAATAACAAGTAGGGAAACTTTCTAGGCATGACACAAAACTCAGAACCCACAATAGAAAAGATTGGTATATTTGACTCTACAAAAAACAATTCTGATGGGAAAATGTCATAAACAGTGAAGAATACAATAGACTAAGAAAAAATATATTTGCATCACAGTGGTGAAGGGCAGAAATACAGAGAACTCCTATAAAATATGAAAAAGACCTAGAATACAGAAGATAATGGACAAAGGCAACACCTTTGTGCGCAGTAAAGAATGGGGCTCGCAGGGGGTGAATTAGAAAAAGGGGCCCCCGTGCAGAATCTGTGGCTCGGTGAGCAGTGTGCAGCCAGGTTTCAGTTTCCACCTCCACAAACTGCATGTCCAAACTTAGCAGCCCCCAGCAAGGGACTTGACCAAGGAGCTCACAAGAAAACAACAAACAAACAAGCACAACACAAATTATATTTAAACATATGAAAATATGCTCAACAACATCTATAATAACAAATGTGCAAATTAAAATGGTAATGATCCATATCTTGCACTATATACAAAAAATGACTTCAAAATGAATTATAGACCTAAATATAAAACCTAAAATTCTAGAAAAAAATATAGAGAAAAATCTTTGTGACTTTGAGTAAGGCCCACCTCAAAAAAAAAAAAAAAAAAAAAGACAAATTGCACTTCATCAAAATAAAGAACGTTTGCCTCAGAAGCCTCTGTTAAGAGAATGAACAGACAGGCCACAGAAGGGGTCACTCTGAGGCATATCAGGTAGAAACACTATCAAGGCACAGAACACATGTATTGTATATAATCACTGGTATTATTTGAAAACATATACATATTTATATTTTTGT